TTTGTTAAAAGTTTGATCATTTAAGTTAGATGGCTTGTGTTAAAGGTCCACGCCCACCAGCAACACGGATGCATCAAATAGCAGAAATGTACATTTGGGTTTCATAGATGTACAGTCTACTCAAATGCACATATTTGCCAATAAGAGCATGTCAATTTGGAAAATCATTTCATTTTCTTTCAAAAATAGTGTCAATGAAAACATAGTATACTTGTTTTGTAATATCTCAAATAATACAAAGTACTCAAGAACTAGGTAATCTTGTTTGTCTCATACATTGTTAATTCTGTATTACTGAAACAAGCATAAAAATGTTAAATTGTATGCACAATAGTACATTTAAAACATACACATATGTTATCATTTTACCATTTAATGTATTTTTCCCGCCCATTTTTTTGTTTAATTGCGAAACTAACCGTTACATTTTATATTGATTAAGCATAATAATATTTTTGTAACTATTCTATTAAATAATAAGTACTACTCATATTAACTAATTCTAAATTCACATTAAAAGGTACATGAAAAACATTTATATAAAAATAATGTTTATTTTTATTTCATTAATCAATTTTTAGATAACTAATTGGTTATAATGGCATAGCAAACCCTTTAAAATCACATGAATAATTGTTATAATAATAATAATTTAATATATTATCAACTAATTAATTGGTCACAACCAAGGAAATAAATAGCTCGCTAAAATTGCCGCTATTTGAGAAATAGTTTTTTTTTGGCACCGTGCCGCTATTTGTATTCATGTGCAATTTAGCCGCTAAATCCCGCTAAATCTCCGCTATAGCTACAGTGTCATAAACGTTTTAGCCCGCTATTTAAAACCTTGGTCACAACCCTTTAAATTTGTAAAGCTACATTATTCATTATATTTTATGAAATTCACACAACTATTCAAATGAAAGTAAAATATTTTATGATTGAATTGTTCATTTTTACTAATTATTAGATTTACTAAATGTGATAATATTTCGCTTATATAACTTATCATTTTAAATATTATATATATGTGTATGTAATAAAATCTTTATTCAAACTAAAGTACTCATTTAATCGTATTCCACGATTAAATCTCCATGCATTTACATTTCAATCTTACTTGTATATATATTATTCTTCACTTTGATTTGATTAGACGTGGCCAATTGCCGGGCAGGGCCCGACCCGATCCGCCTCGCCGGGTCGGCGGGCCACAATCTCATGGCCCGTGACCGGCCCGCCCACTTAAATGGGCCGGTTCATAGAACCGGCCCGAACCGTCGGTTCACTGACCCGGCGGTTCACGGGCCAGTTAATGTGCATGTACTGCCTTTAAAAAAGTTAACTTGTGGCCCGTTGTTCGACGCGCGGTCCGGACCAGCGGGACCAAAAAAAAAAAATTGTACCAGGACCGAACTGCGACCCTAAGAGTCTGGTTCAACGAACCGGCCCTTATGAGGCCGGTTCATGACTGGTTCGGGCCGGGCCGGGTCGGGGCCGATTCACGGGTCGGGCCGGCCCGTGGACATGTCTAGATTTGATGTTTAGTTGATATATTTTGATACCCCCAAAGTCCAAGCAACAATTCCAATCGTCAAACCCGTGTATATCTGTCTTCCTTACTATGGCAAAACAAAGCTAATTCCTAGCTAAATGTCCACTCCCACTTGCAATTCCAATTTCACATGACCGGTGAATCATCTTAATTTCCCAAGTATAACCATTTTTTTCTTCGTAAAAAGTCACAAATTAATAAATAATATTCAGTAGAAAAAGATGAAACAACCCATGCACAAGACCTATAAATACCCCCTCTTATCCCACCACACCATGCACCACTAATAGCAATAACAAACAAACCACATCAATAATTAATCACACAAAACAAACAATACATTAATCATGGTTCCCTACTTCAACCGTGTAGCTCTTCTTATGACGGCCTTGATTGCTCTTGGGAGCCTAGCGGCCGTGTCCCGTGGGCAGTTGAAGGTCGGATTTTACTCCAAAACGTGCCCCAACGCAGAGTCCATAGTGTTCTCAGTTGTAGCCAAACATTTCGGCATTGACGAGACAATCCCGGCACCCATCCTTAGAATGTTCTTCCACGACTGCTTTGTCCGTGGCTGCGACGGCTCCATCCTTCTCGACGGGCCCACCTCTGAGAAGACGGCTATCCCAAACCAAAGTCTCAGGGGATTCGAAGTCATTAACGAAGCCAAGGAGCAAATCGAGGCTGTCTGCCCTGGCGTCGTCTCTTGCGCCGACATTCTTGCCCTAGCCGCACGTGATTCTGTAGTGCTCGTAAGTTTTTTTTTTTTTCTATTTAGTAGAAAAATAAAAGTAAACTGAAATGACAACAGTCCATCACGGAATGATTCAATCAGTATGTTTTAACCACGGATTATCTATATATATATCCTAGAATAATAAATATATGTATCTAAACGTTAATAATAACCACGGAATCATTCCGCGACGGGACGGTCGTGATTCCCATTGATTGTTAAACTTTTTCTTTTTCTATTATTATATGCAGACGGGTGGACTACGTTGGCAAATGACAACCGGGCGTCGAGACGGACGGATATCTCAGGCGAGTGATGTGGGCAACCTCCCGAGTCCTTTCGACAATTTCGACACCCAAAAGACCAAATTTGCCGCTAAAGGTCTCAACACAACAGATCTTGTGGCCCTCCTTGGTAAGCCGCCAAAGCCTGCAACAAACATTAACGATCAAGAAAATTACGAAAGAGATTAAGCACTTAGGTTAATTAATTAATTTCCTTGTGTCATGATTTTGTTATATATCAGGCGCGCACACGATCGGGACAGCGGCATGCCAGTTCATCAGCTACCGTCTGTACAACTACAACGGTACGGGCAAGCCCGACCCTACCATCAACCCGCTCTTCCTCCCGATCCTGCGGAGGGACTGCCCGCAGAACGGGAATGCGACCAAGCGGGTCCCGCTCGATAGGGCTACCCCGACCAGGTTCGACAACGCGTTCTACTTGGAAGTGGCCACGGGGTTTGTGGTTCTCGAGTCGGACCAGAGGCTGTTCAGCAGCATGGAAGGCCAGATCCCGGTCGCCCAACTCGCATTGAAATTCTTCGGCAACAATAAATTCGGCAATGCCATGAACAAGATGGGGGCCATTGAGGTGCTGACGGGGACCAACGGAGAGATCCGGAACGTTTGTAATGTCACTAATTAATCTGGAGATCATAGTTTCGGTTTTTTTTTTTCTAATTTTTACTTCTTTTTTGTTTTGTTTTGAATAATTTGGGAAAGAATGTGCGCGGCCCGCTTGAAGCCCGGCCGCGGCTGAGTCAGTCACTTGAGCTATAGATTTGGACTTAGGTTTAGGTTTGTCTGCAGTTTTATGGTCCAGTCTGTTTGTTGTGATTCTTCTATTTCGGACACTAAGAGCATGATTGGATACAAAAATTTCTCAAAAAAATCCAAACATTTTTAACTCAACTACTTTTTTAACTCAACTTTAACTCAACCCACTATCATCAATATTATCAATATAATTAAATAATATCAATCAATCATTCTTACACACAACATCAACCTTAATTCACTATTCATCTACTCACATAAATTTAACTAACTATCACATCACATTTTCTCTCTCTTACTTTTACATCAATTTAGTTTTAATTATTTTATTTTAAATATTATTTTATTATATCCACTAATAACTAACCATACCTACTTTTTCAAATTTAACCAACCCAAAATTAAAACAAAAACAAATTTATATCCAAGCATGCTCTAAATAATTAGTAATCATCGTTTGGACGTTCAATGATATGAAGTGATTTTAATTGCAAATTAATTAATAATTGTACCCTTTTTTTCACATTCTAATTAATAACTACTACTACTACTTCTACTTCCAAAAGAAAAAAAATCTCCAAATCTTAAACTAAAAAATTAAACCAAAATAAATAAAAACTAAAAAATTAAACCAAAAAATAAATTAAAGCTAAAACACAATATTAAAATTGTACTAAAAAAATAAAAATTGGACTATAAGCTTATCAAACCAAAGACAAGGGGCAGATCTAGAAAATTTATTTGGGGGGACGAAATAATTATCAATAATGACATACTTCATTAAAAAGACAAAGTTCTATTTTTAGAATAGAAAAAAAAAAAGTAGTTCAAAAAATACATACTGTTCAAACTTTGTGACTATTAGAATTGGGTTCGACGTTCTTTCAAGTCATGAAACCCATCGATGATTGACTCGGTAGTAATGGGTCTTTTTTTTCAACAAAGATAGTCAAAGAATTTACAAGAAATTCATATTCTATTTTACTTTGAAGTGTAGATTTAACGATAGCTATAACCGAAAATGCACGCTCTGTGGTCGACGTAGACACAGGAAGAGTAAGAATCAACCTTAATGAAAAAATAGCATAGCCTATATATTACTATATGATTCATAAATAATAAAAAAAATGATATAAGCCTATATATGATCCATGTGTTCTTGACAAATGATACATCTTTTCAATAATTTTTTTAACCAAATTGTCCAAGCTAAAGAGAATGAATTAAAATATTTAATGATGATGAATAAATACACATATCGAGTGCTAATTTTAAACCCTAAATCCCTAAAAAAGATAAATAAATTAAATTATGAACATGAGCATAAATTAAAGTACTCACAAATATAAAAAGATGATCAAAATACTCAAGATATTGTTGGACTTGTTGCTGTAATTTTTTTAGCTCGTTGTTCCCTTTTTTCATTAATAAATAAATAATATAGTATAATATAAAAGGTGGAGTTGGACTTTATGGGGTTTTTTAAATATATCTCTAATGGACTTGACATGTTTAAACACACATGATCAAAATAAATAATCATTAGTTGGTTAGGAGGGACAAATAATAAATAAATATACTTAATCAAATATAATGTATATATACTTAGGTGAAGAAACACAAAAGTTTGGGGGGACCATGGTCCCCCTTAACTACATGTCTGTCCGCCCCTGCCAAAGACGGACGTGAAGGGAAGGAAAAAAGTAGAAAAAAAAAGAGAATAAGCGCGTCGCCTTTCTGCACGCACGTTTGTTGTCTGTCGTCGCTCCAACCTGTTACAACTCATTGTTATATATGAAGTAGAATAACAAAATTGTAATATACAAGAAATCTTAAGCATATTCCTTATTTACTGCAAACATTTACACCGTTCAATGTTTATTGTGTTTTTGTGCTTATTTTCATGTATTTTATGTATTTTAGTTAGTGTTTTTAGTAGAGATGTCAAAACGGGCTAGCGGGGCGGGGTGGCCCGCAGCCCGTTTTAGTAGAAATCTTAAGCAT